TTGCGTTCAGTTGCGATCGAGTCTAGACAAGGTTGTGGTAGCGATAGGCTGTTAAAATTGCGAATTTATCTGCCGCAAATTAACTCGACATTCAGCGCGTACAAATTACGAACATTGTCAACTTTTTGTGTTGATAAAATTTATGTAAAAAAGTGGGGAAATAAAATAGAAAGAATATAATAGTTAAACTGCGATTGGCAAAAACAGCGATGGTCAGGGAAAATGCCTTCGCTTTGAAATTAATGGTTTTCACTCGTTTAAGCTTAAAAATGCTTCATAGTTTATAAGCAATTTGAAATTATCTTTTAATTTAAGTCAATTAATAATTTTAAAATTTCTTCAATTAATTGCTCATTATGAAATTCTGATTGGGTGAGCTAAATTTACTCAATTTAAATCGTAATTTACAGACTTTATTACTCTTTAATTGATGCAATCCACAGCATAATTAACTGAATTTTAATTAATTCACTCAATGTAATAATAAATTGACTGAAAATATATCATATTTAACTCAATTTACAAATTAATTTCGTCGTATTACAGCTTAATTTGCTTAAACTACAGCTTATATTACTCTTTTGCCCTGTTCATTTACTCAATTTAAAATTTAATTGACTAAATCACACCTGATTGACTTAAGATGCAAGCTAACTTTGTCACTTTACATCTTAATTTACTCAATCTCTTACATCTTAATGGACATAATTACTGCTTAAATGGACTCAACTTTTTTCAATTTACTCTTTAATTAACTTAATGCGCATCAAATTTGACTCAGTTCAATTAATTGACTCAATTTAATATGTCATGTCCTAATTGACTCAATATATAAATTATTTGTATCAGTTTACAGCTTAGTTTACTAAATTTACAGCTTAGTTTATTTTTTTCATTCGTTAATTGACTCATCAATCAATTTACATATTAAATTTATCACTTCACATTTTAGTTTATCCAACCAACTATTTCATTTACTCCTGTCTCATGTTAATTGACTCCATTTACTGCTTAATTTGCTTTATTCACAACTTAATTTACTCAATTTACACTTTAATTAACTTAATGCACATCATATTTGGAAAAATTATAATTAATTGACTCAATTTATTGTCTCATGTCCTAAATGACGCAATTTTAAAGTTGTTTGCATCAGTTTACAGCATAATTTAAAACAGATAAAAATAAAAGCATAATTAACTCCTTTAACACGTTAATTGACTAAATTCATTGCTTATTCAACTTTATTTACACCTTAATTTATTCAATTTACATACCAGTTGACCCAATTTGGAAATTAGTTGTTCTATATATTTACTCTATATAAAGCATATTTGACTTTTGACGCAAAATAAATATCGAATTGATACTCTCTCTTGGAACTTTGGACATTCTTAATTTTTTCACAAAAATATTCCAATGTAAATTGTATTTGAAATATTTCTTCTCCAATAATCAATTATTTTCAATATTTGCTATTTTGAATAATGAATGAGATACAAAAACATATTTTTCAATTATCATTGAAGAACAAAACTTTCAAATTATATTTTTCTAATGTATCATATATTAAATTTTCAAAAGCGAAATAATTACATTTACCATACCCAATTTCATGCCCACCACTGTTTTGACGCACAATATACCATATTTAGCGTACAAAAATTAGGCAGCAAGCGACGATGAGCTGACTACCTTATAGCTACTAAATTAATACTGTGTAAATGAAGTAAGCCAAAGTCAAGACAAACAAATGGCAACCCGTTGGGGCAGCAACGAGCGAATATTGACAACGAACAGGATACGACCAGATTTTCCAGATTTGCAAGCTGGGCAAAGTGTGTTTCGAAGATAATGAAACCAAAGGAAGGCCATAAAATTAGTGGCATAAAAACAAAACATAACCAGAAAAGCGGCGTTGCTGCATGCCACATGTGACAAGCTGCATGCAGCCGGCCGATACAATGTTAAGCTACTACAGTTATGCAGGTTTGCATAAATAAATTTCAGTCAAAACTGCTGATTGAGTGCATTAATTATGCTGGAGGCTAAGACCAAGCCGCCAGCAACCAAGTGAATTGCAAATTTAGGTTTACGTGTGATGTACATGTATATGTTTGTGTGGATATTAATAGTTGTGCTGGTTTCGGTGGCGCTGGATGTGCCATTGACAACACATTACCGTCAACGGCCAAATTGCAGGCAAGCGCAAGTGGCGCTACAAGCAGCTGCAACAGCGTAACTAGCAGAATTGACCAAGCGCTTTGGTGCGCATATCTTGCAACCTTAAGACTGCTGTCGTATGCCTTGAATGCTGCACACATAATATATATTTCTACTGTATTCATGTGCATTGCGATGTGCGTGGCAGTTTAGCGCTGCGCTGCTACTCATGACCGACAGCATATTTGCATGATGTTTGAAAATTAATAGGAAACTTGTTGGGCGCAAGTGAGGTGCGCGTGACACCTGCCGCATGCCAAGACAACGAAAACTGCTTCGCAAACACTAAGAGGTGCTTCGCCCAAATGCGCGCTGGAGCGGTGTGGAGGTGACGCATTTGCCTAGCACCAACTTACCCGCATGTAATAGCGAAGCGCGTGCAACGCAGCGCAGCGCCAATGCGTAAGACGGTCAAGCGAACGGTTTGTTGGTCGGCGCGTTCGATCGTTTGCCTACCAAACTAGTCAACACGTCAATCAGCCTGTCGAATAACCATTTCAGCTGCTGCTTAGCCAATGCTATCAACACTGCTTTTGCCTCTAAGTGCTCGCTGCCACAGGCCGTGTGTGCACGCGCGCGCCTTTCAAATATTGCCACGTCTACACGCGGCTCACAAACGCGCTGGCGTACGGGCGGAATGTTAATGCGCCTAATGAGGAAATGTACAACGGCATTAGGCGGAATGGCATTTCAATTAATAGCTAAGTTTGCCACAAACCAACAACAAAATCGCACTTGCATTGCATGTCACAAACAAACACATTGCGAATTCCTCGAAATTGCCGACCGTACGCATACAATCATATGTGCATATTTCGCCAACATAAAAATATGCATATATGTGTATGCGTGCGCTCGTCTCTAGCCAAAATTAATTGTTCGTTTGTGAATAGAGCACGGCAGCTGTCGGCTATTGGCTGTCCACCGTCTATCGTTGGCCACTGTCGGCTGACTGTTCGTCCAAAGTGGTTTATGCAGTTTCGGCCATTAAACCTGTCATAAATGGCCAAAGTTCTTTGCCGTTGTTGGAATTTCAATGCTTGATTTGCCTATATACCAAGTCGCTGCCAACGCGCCGCCGTTCGCACTACCCCAAGCAGCATATGGCGCGCTGGTGGCCATTAAGTACAGATGATGCAATTGGCAGCCTGCACAGCACGCTAATTGCAAATTAATTACAAGCTATAGAAGTAAATATTTACCAATTTACATGTCACATCGGCACTCACACACATACACACACGCATGCGCATACTTGCATCTGCCTAGCTTCAAATATTTTAAGCAGCAGGAGTACCTCGTTAAAATTAATTTTATTTGCTTCACTTCACTTATTTTTTTTTTATTTTATTGAAATTGCATTTTAATGACTTATTGGCAAATAAATTGCTAAGCAAAATTTGTTTTTAACTAAACGACAAAAGTAACGGTATTTACGGTGTGCTATTATCTTCTATTACAGTAGTAAATATTTTTGTTTTATCTACTTTTTATTCATGCTTTTCTTTGTCTTTCCGGCATTCATATTGAATAAAAATCTTGAATGGGTTAGTTTATTACATGACTGCATAAGATTCCATTTCTCAAGCAATCGATTCGCTTTTTAGAATAGATTCGGATTTTTTTAAGATCAAAAACTGTTAGCTCGACAAAAAAAAATAAGTTCCAGAACACTTTTGCTTTTCTGATTGGTTAAAATAATTTTGATAATTTTCTATTTTCCAAACAGGTGGCAACTCCGTTCTAAAACATGCTTCAATTACTAACACTAGCACAAATTTTTCTTAAGCATGTTATTTTAAACTAAATTTTTTTAATACCTGTATCCATTTTATATTAGCTGGCAACCTTATATTATACACTTTTACATAGTACTCATTCTCATTAAGTTCCACAACACCTTTGGTGGGTTTGTCTGATGTGCTTATTAGTGACAATAATTTTCAACTCTATTCGGAAATATGGTTAAATTAAAAAATTGGTTTTTTTGGGATTGTTATGCATAACTCAATTTTTTTGAATACTTAAATTAGTTTTACGAAAGGTGGCAACCTTATACTAAACACTTTTCTTTGGTATTACTTACTACCATATTCTTTAATATATATTATATTATATTTTTTATTTACTCTGCTCGAGAACTATCAATTTAGTTGCTCTAGAATTATTCTTAGATCTACTACATTTCTAGAGCCGATTGAGTTTCCAAAATAAAGTGTAGACAAAAACATCACTTGCCCAAATTTTGACTGAGTTGCTACCATTATTCAATTTAAAATTATATACTCATAATAATGAAAAAAAAATTAATAATAAATAAATTATAAGCATAATAAATGGCAGATTGATTAAGTTGTGTTACTGTTAATGTTAATGACTAATTGACGTTGCCACCTGATTTAAGATATTTAAAGTAAACAAAAATTTCCAAATCAAAAAAGAGTTCGAAACGTGCGACATGACGGCCGGACTCGACGAATTCATAGATATTTTCGACCGAGCGTGATTTCTCGTTATAATTAAGAGCGCATAATTGGAGAGACTTTTTTAGAGGTGTCTAAGTAACTATCTTTCAGTGTAACAAGCCAAAAAAATTTTCGTTTTTTGATCTACCCTAATATACATTAATTACTATTTTGCCTCAGGTACTCAACATCATTAATTTCAAATATATATATAATATATACATACATATATCTGAAATAAAATTTATAAAATATATTTTTTTTTAATTAGAATATATTTGTAAATAGTTCATATTTCTTTCTTTTTTGCAGACTAATTTCAAACAACTCGCAGGTTTAGAAATAATATAAACCGTTTAAAATGGAGTGATAATACTCGTTAGAAGTCTATATGCACAATTATATGGTAATTAAGAAAAACTTTTCTATAAATTCCATAAATGTTTACGATGGTATAAATTAATAAATGCTAAAAAAATTTATATTCACAACTCATAAAGTATTGATTTAAAAAAATTACAACAAAAAATTAAATTAAATTTATGTTAATTTACTTGTTTTAGTAATAAATGCTTGTATTCATGCTACATATATTCATTAGCTCTTTTTAAAAATATTTTTATCTCTTTTCATATTGTATAAGCCAACACAGAGTTAATCGCATTTTATGAGCTCAAAACGTTAATGTCTTCATATAAAAACATAAATAAGAGAATTACATATGTAAATATGTATGGTATGCATGTATATGAGCATTAAAACATTGATATTTCCTTTCGATGATTACAAAAAATTAATGACTCTAATAAGTTAATGCAAAATTTACTTTTTTTTTTACAAGATGCACATACATATGTACTTATATTATATAATATAAAAACCAGCCAGTCAACTTCATTTACTTGTAATCATTTGATTGCAATAATTATTATATTAACTTAGCTTTGTTTTAAACAAACAAATAAATACTTGGCTGACGATAAAGTTATGTAGGAAGCCATTTGTTAAATTCTAATAGCTGCTTAGCTGTCATTGCAACAGGTTATGACCGCCATTTCCGCAAGTCAACGAAGCAAATGTGCAAATAGCAATTTTTATAACTGTAAATAATAAATACTAAGTAACTGACATAAATGCTAATACCGATTTTATGTGAGAGATAGTAAAATCAGTGGCGGTTTCAAATAGGATGTTGGCAGTGTTGCAAATAAAGTTGCGTATGATGGAAGCTGGTAGTCAGCTAGTGGCGCTATTAACTAGTGTGAGTTTCTATGCAAAAAAATATAAAAAAATATTAACCTTTTTTGCCTTAATACAGCTGTTAATGCGTTCAGTTGATTCGCTTTGCGTACTTAGCCATTTCCTTTACGCTTAAAGTTGGCGTGGCAAACAAACAATGGTATAAATCGCTTGCTTTTATCACTCAATAAATGTGAAATGGCTTCATTAGCGTTTTAATTGCAGAACTTAAAGTGCTTGAAGTGCACAATCAAGAGGACTCGGATTTGTGTTTGCTTTAAAACAATGGTTTTTTGAAGATTTCGCGTTCAAGGTAGATACAGAGTCATATGCAAAAAATTTCTAACCTACAGTAATACTCGCTTAATTATTCTTCTCAAATTGAAAAACTTACAACGCAATTAACCGACAACACAATTAACTAGTCGCTTTATATGCAATTAAGCGCAGTAGGATCTGTTTTTTTTTTCGAAAGCTAGCATCAGGTTAATTGGTTTCAATTATTACGAGAAATTTACTGCTTTTAGCAAAAATATATTTATTTCGTTTGATTTGTTGATCTAATTACGGATTCAAACCATATATTATAGTTTAGAAATCTTTATTCTCATATACTATGTACCTTTTAAGTTAATATGATATCAAATATTATACATCCATGATTTCACGCTCCAGACGGATTGTTTGCTTTAAGACAATTTTTTCTCTTGAATGGTTTATTTTTGGAACACCAAAGACTTCGTCGATTATCCAGCGTATATAATCCTGTGGACTTAGATGGCTTGAAGCTTCCATCTTTTCTTCTGGCATGCTAAGCTTCTCCGTTGATTTTTAGCCTATTTTTTATTTATGAAAAATAAAAATAGAGGACTCTACTAGTTTCTAACCGCCGAGACCGAATGTCAGATGAATTTTCCAAGAAACATTCTTTCGCGCAAAGTGCAGTGGGCAGTTAGAAGTGAGCTGCTGAGAAACAAGCGCTTAAAGAAGCATAGGTATGTCTTTTAGGGTGTTTTACTTTCGCCACGTGGTGCTTTTAACCAGCTTTTTGTGCTGAAGACTCACCAACCGAAAATCAGGCGTTCGTGCACTCGAGCACATTAGTGAACTAAGAAAGTATTTTGGGAAAAATAAATTTTGGTTCTACTAGTTGTGGCTCGTTCACGTTGCTATAAAGTCGAGCACTTTCTAGAATAAAAACTATCGTTGATGTAACAAAACTCCCGCGTGGAAACAACGTTTTTTCTTCATGTCAGTTGCTAAACTAACTTTCAGTATAGCTCACATTTTTTGCAGAATTCTGGTATAATTTTCAATCGGTTCTGTTTGGGCTTATGAGTAAATTTTCTTTTTCATATAAGCATATAATAGTTTAGATTTCTAAAGCCACTCTGATGTGTACATTTTTTTACACAAAACAATTATTTTTAGAGAAGCAACCTTTTTGTTAATCTAAACTTTAGCAAGCCCTCTGATCATCACTTGTATTCCATAGCAATAATATATAATAATAAAGTCTTTCTCAACAGAAGACAGTCGTTTTTGGGAGTTCCTTCTAGCGATCGGCTACAAGATCGAGGAAATCAAAAGCTTTGAAATTTTTTCAAAATTAATAGCCCATTTAATTGTGGATAAGTACATATTTTTATTTATTTCTTAAATGAAATGCTTTTCAAAAAAGCATGATTTACAAGTGCATATAAACGCTTGAAATGCTTTAAAACTTTTTTACGATTTTATTTAAAGCGGAATTTACAAACAGAAAACACTTATTGTTAGCAACAGGTTGCTGTCAAGTAAGCAGCAGCTGCCAATGCAAATACAGCAACCAATTGTCAATTATAAGCACTATTTGCACATCGACCAATAGGCAATTGCACAATGCACTTGAAGTACTTAACATGAATATATACATATGTATGAATATACAGACTTCATTATGTAACAAGAAGTAACGCTAGGCAGTCAGTCAAACAATGGCTCAGGTGTGGTTACACTGGGTAAACGCCTACAACACAACACACTTTGCCTAAACAATGAGTTGGCATGCGAATTTTCGCATTTTTAATTACTATGCGCGCGCATGCGCAGTACAAATAGTAGACAAAGGCGAAGAGTAAACAAATAATATGATTATATAATGCATTAAATGCAATACGCACGTTGAATGACGAAAATTATGGTAGAAAATAAAATGTTAAAATTAATTATGTGCATAATAATAGTGCAGAGAAGTAATAATAAACAAAGTAATTGCAATTTATGTATATAAGTATGTACACATATATAAATATGCATGTAAATATATATATATATATATGCATATAAAAATAGGTAATTGACACGAATGCGCAAAAGGTGCAAATCAGACGTTGCCAACATTTTACGCAAAGCCAAAGCTGTCAGTGTAAGCTGTGCGTGCGCATGCGCATAAGAGCCCACGGTGGCTGTCACATATTTATGCAAACATACATACCTACATATAATGTCGTTGTTATTGTCACTGTTTTTCAATGAAATTGTTTTTTTTTTTGTTTTCGATGCTTATTTGTTGCAACAACTCACTTTTTCACTACACATGCCGCATGTGGCATCCACGTATATGCGCGCTTGTGTAAAGTTGGCCTGCCTAGCTACGCGCAAGACCTTGCCGCACCACAAGCAGGTGGCAATTGCTGTGTTTGGCTGTGCGGCGGCCAACTTGATTGCCAATATTGGCAAGACAATTCGTCATATTTGGAACATGTTTGCAGTGAAAATTACTGCAACAAGCCGCAAGCGAAATACACACAAACACATATGTAATTACTTACGCGTACAATGCATATTGCAGCGCTGCAACGAGTCGCGGTTTGTGGTTGTTGTTGTTGTTGTAGGGCAGCTGCAGCAGCGCCACCGCCAATCGACGCGCAAGTACGAGTAACGGGTAGGCGTGCAGCAATAATCCGCTATATTTTTCTTCACTCTCATGTTTTCCCCTACTTCTTCTTTTCCTACTACTCTCTTGTCAGCGCTCCAGCGTATTTATGTCAATATTATTCAGGAATTCCAGCACTTATTATATGTTCGCATGGCAAATGAAGTGTGTGCCCAAATGAGTTTTCAATTAATCTCGTTAATATGAAATCGGCTGCGTGGAGGGCGCTTGCGGTCTGCATATTGAGGCCCAAGGCGAATGCGCATAAATTAAAGGTAAAGCGGGGTAAGAACGTGGGGGAATTAATAAGCATTTATTTGTCATATCTGAGCGACATTGTAGGTATAGAGGGGAAATAATTCTGAACTGTGAGAGCTGCTTTGCTGTGTGGGTCTTTCATCAGCGTAAAGCCTTTCAAATGATTTAGAGCCTCCGGAAAAACGTAAAATTTCCAAAAGAATACAAATTAAAAGCAGATTTAATCGTTTTGCATCCAAGCTCACAATCGAATATAATTTTGAGTTATGCTATTTTTCTGAAATACACTTTCATTTATTATTTTCTTTATCCAATATTGCTTATACTTCTAAAACAACTTACCGATTTGAGCAATAGTTTTCTTATTAAAAACTTTTCTTTATATTTTCAGCTCTAGCTCAGACCGTCCTCTCTGCAAAAGTACAGTAAATAGCGCAAATGAATTGTTGCACCAACCAAATGTGGTGAGAATGATGCATGAATGCTTATTAGACAATGTCCAGTAAGAATTCCTACGACAGCGGCAAGATAAACTTTGCTAAATGTAAGTAGTTCAATATATATTCTGAGTTATACTCTAGGCCAAAAGAATTTTGCACTCGCACAGGAACGTGTTGTCGATGACCGAAGTGAGTGGGGCAGCGGTGCCTCCTCTGGTTAGCGCATCGGCTTCGACCTAAAATTTGTGAGCTTATAGAAAAGCTGATGCGGTAAAAAGTCTATTTAAGAAAATAAAACATATTGTGAAACGCGGTCGAGACTGTTTTTTTTAGTGTTATTTAGTGCAATCTGGCTTTCCTGTAAGAACATACCACACAGTCGGTTATAAAACGTTAAAAAAAAAAACATCATTAACATTAATCTGAAAGTTTTATTATCTTAGCTAGGTTGCTAGGAATATGTTATATGAAATAAGTTCTCATGAATTTATGCTACAAACCCATTATAATTCCTAGTAAAAAACCGCCTGCTGTAGTTGCCTTTTCAGAAAATTAAAGTTTAGACTTAGGTGAGCATATTTGTGCCGGCAAAATTCGGGACGATTTTTTTAGTCATCGATTTTTTCTATATACCTATAATTCACTGAAAATCGCGACATAGAATTGGTGAGAGAGCAACACATTATTCCTTTTTTTCTAAGCCCGGAATGGCCGGGATGCTTAATTCGGAATCCACACTGTCACAGCCAAACCGGAACGAATAGTCAGCTAAGTTTAGACGTTTACTTAATGAAATCCAAAAGTTTTGAGATGGTCTCGAGACGAAACTTCTTAAAAATATTTATGTATTATAGCTCTACTAAATTAGAACAAACAAATTTTATTTTGAGTTTAGAGCGAATTTTTATATACTACTGTAGATTTGGAAGTGTTGGTGACTAAATGCGGAGAGATTCAATTAAGTAAAGTTAATTTTTCATTAAATATGCCAAAGGAAATTTACCTCATAGTCCCAAACAGAACCGATTCAAAATTATACCGGGACTTTACAAACAAATTGAACTATACTGGGAATTTAGCAACTGCCATTAAGAAAAAATGTTGTTTACTATCCTCGAGAGAATTTAGTTTCTAAGTTACATCTATGATAATTTCTTTCTAAAAATTGTTCGACTTTACAGCAACACGATTCGCAGACACCAAGCACCACTTTCCCGAAAAACTTCCTTAGTTTATTAATAGGCTCGATTTAAAGTGCAAGAATGACTGATTTTAGGTCGGTGCGTCTTTGGCACAAATATAATCCGTGACAAAAGTAAAAGGGCTCTAAAAAAATGGCTTTATAAGCGATTATCTCTCATCGCCTCACTTCTAACTTTCTACTGTACTTTGTGCGAAAAAAATTTCCTTGGAAAATCGATATTCGGTCTTAGAAGCTTGTAACTAGTAGAGTCCGCTATTTTTATTTTGCTTGAAGTAAAAATGACGGCAGTTTCAACTATGTAACAGCCAGCTAGCTCCACTCAGCTTATAATTCTGCAGTCATAACTTTATATGTGATATATACATTTTTTTGTCGTTATAAGTAAACGCTTTGACCTCTCTTTATAAACGTCTTATACACCTGTACATTGAGTTATCAATACATATGCTCATACATTTTCTCTTCGAGTTTACAATTTCAAAGTCCGTTCAAATATTCATCGATAAACAGACGCGTTGGCTACCTGTTTACCGTCGCTCGCAAAATCAGCGCATTCGCCATGCAAACTCATGCATTATTTCATTCAACGCCAGATTCTAATCAGCGTGTTATTGCAATTTATGCAGTGGGCATTGTGTGTCGCATCCTAACGTAAAAACACACACATCTCCACACTGTGAATACTAAAACTTAGCCACAGGCGTTTAGACGAACTGTGCACATGCGCAGCATTCAGCTCATTCATACGCGGCCTCTGTGACTTTCGCATGTCTCCATAGAATATGCCAGCAACGCAATCGTGATGCGCCATAACTTAACCGTTTGCCGGCTGTCTGCTGTCAGCTGCAGGTAATTTGGTTGCATGTGCAACATATACGCGTTGTTGCTATTGTTGTTGCGGCCACATAATCGTAAAGTGTGCGATCTCGCAACTTAAATTATTGCACAATTATGGCGCATACCACGCTGCTGGACAGAAGCATCTCAAGCGCGTCGAGAAGTAACCGCCGGCGCATTTGCGCGCAGCATGTGTGTCGCCAACCTTTGAGCGCCAAGATATGTGGCGATGCGCGCATGCCACTGCTGCCGCGAGATAGATGACCGGCAGCTAAGCGGCGCAATCGCTAGTAAAAGTGAAATAACTTTCCACTTATTTGACGGAATAATCTGCCGGAATGACTGAATGAGCGCATGAAATGAACGGTTTTATGCGCCAGGCGGCACACACGCGCGCGCGCGCACACACATACATACGTACATACATATGCATGTGTATGCGATTTATTATGTCGTGGCAATCTGGCCGGCACCAGGCGCTGCGCCATTCAATAAGTTTATTGTCGATGCGCTGCAGTTCATCTTGTCATCTGGCCGTCTTGCCGTCTTGCCGCCTTGCGTGGCATGCAACTTCGATCTGCCTCAACATTTGGCATAATTCGCTGTTTAATTTCGGACGGCATGTAAATCGTGCGCTGACATTTGCGACGCGATCAGATCGTAATTTCCATAGCGACGCTGTGGCAGTTGCATTAATATTGCTCATAACTTTTTCAGTTTATACTAATCTGGCATTTCATTGGAAACGCGCTGCAATTTTTGCAGGCACTGTGTGGAAATATATCACCGCTTCCGACAATTGTGGGAATAATGCAAATTAATGTGGCAGTATCACGTTTGTTGGCTTTTAATTGGCAAATTTATTTCAAACAATTCAAAAATTTAATTGCCAGTTGTGCAATATTATTGACGAGGTGCACAAGCAATGGCAAATGGAGTAGGCTAGCTTATAGTTAATATTTTATTATTATTTAAATTAATTCTCCATGAAATACAAAAAGCAATCTTCCACACAGACTTCTACTTTGTCATAGGTTCAATTGTGTTGAAGAATGTTGAGAAATGAATAATTAAAATTATTTTCTGAAATTATTCAGTATTATTTTTATTAAATCGGGACTTTTTTGGCTCACTACTGTATTTTTGAATATACAACAAACAGCTATAGCAGCTGGCATCCAGTAGGATGTGCAATCTTACTGCTCAGAGCACCCTGTAGATTTTCTAAGGTGATTTAGCATACACGTCAAAACTAGTGATAGGTGGATCCCAGTTTACTTTGCGCTCTCAAGTCGTCACTAGAAAAGTAATGCCTTCTTAGGACAGAAACGAGTTAATGCTTCGAACTAGGATCCGTTATTTGAGAAAAATCGTAATTATTAGACAATTAGGCACATATATGAGTTCTTTACGTTATAATTTTGTTTAAACAATATAAATATATATATATATATATATATTAGGGTGGAGCGAAATCAAAAAAAAAATTTGTTTGCCTAGCCTGAGAGTTAAATTTTTAGATTATAAAAAAAGAAAATTTCTGAAAAAAAAAAATTTTTTTAACATCTGGACTCACTTTTAAATTAAATTTTTTGGACAAAAAATTTTTTTTTTGGTTTAAACTCTTTACATTTATATAAAAACTATCGAATTTGACGGGTTTTGACTCAAAATATATTTTAACGCTTAAGGAATGCATGTTGTCGTTTAAGACTTTTTTTTAAAACTGCAATAAAGACCACAAAATTTTTTTTTTAAGTTGATAACTTTGAATAGCCAAAAAGAGAACTCTCCACAGCTTCTGGAACACTTATCAAAAATTTTTACGGAATACAAATTTTAACTCGAAACTTTACTTTAAAAGTGAGTGGTTTTTTCCAAAAAATTTCGTTTTTTATTATCTACAAAATTGACCCTCAGGCTGAGCAAAAAAAAAAAATTTTTTTCGCTCCACCCTAACATATATATAATTTTTTTTTAAATTTATTTCACACCTGCCATATGTTTTGCAGCGCAAACATGCCTGTGTTTAGCTGTTGCAGCAAATGTCAACACATTGTTTGCAGCGTAACGTGAGGCGCCAAAACAACAATAGCGACAACTAGAACCATATCAAGCCCCGAAAATCAAACACCGACAATTATACTGCCACGGCAAGCAACCATTGTTGCCCACTGACATATCTTGAGTAAGCAATAACAGTGTTGTGTGAATATTAGCAACTTGGCAATCGTGCCGAACCTGCTGAAATGTTTATTAGTTGCATTAATTGGAGTATTTCCATTTTATTTTCATGCAAAGCGAGCAATGTAATCAAATGTAGCAAAGTTTCGAATTTTTAAGCTGACAATTTCGTCAAGTTTATAATTTGTACGCACTTATCGATTATTTATCGAACAGAAAAAAATTTAAATTGTTTTAAATTTCAATATCTATCTTATATAATTTATCGATAAATTATCGTAACGAAAAAGTTTAAACTTCTTGTAATAAAGTTTAATTTTATATATGTATTTGGATTACTTTGCAGTCAAAAACAAAAATTAGTATGTATTTAATGAAAATTTATCGCAGCGAAAAACTTTTAATATCTCGGTATAAATTTTAATTTCTTATATTTATACATATATATTTCACTGTAATCAAAAAAATTTTAATCTTTAATTTATCGATGCGAAAAGATTTAAAGATCTGCTTATAAACATAAATTTCTTATGAATATTTAAGATTTACTGTGGTCAAAAAATATTGCGTACACACTTAACGATAATTAATCGAATTGAAGAAATTTATTTTCTTGTTATTAAATAAAATTTTTTATATACCATTTAAGTTTCACTGTGGTCAAAAAGTTCTTTGAATGTTAATTTATCGATAATTTATCGAACCAAACAAATTAAAATTTTTTGTTATCAACTTTATTTTCTAATAATTGCATTTTAATGCCGTCAAAAATATTTTGAGCATCAATTTACCGATAATTTATCGAAGTAATATAACCTAAATTTCTTGTTATAAGCATTAATTTCTTATATTTGGGCCTCACTGCAGTCAAAAGTAAATAGAGTCATATGTACATACATATATCCATGTGAATTGTTGCTATATACATTTTAAATAATTGGTTCGACTTTGGCTTGCTTGCTAAACTAATGCCTGGGAGCGCGCATTCACATCACACCTTTGGTACGCCAACTGATTGTTGCTGTTGTTGCTGCTTATGCGAAAATGTTAAATATACTTTACAATCGACTTAATTGCCGATGCTTTGCAACACACAACTCACCGCATATCCTCCCGCGCTAAGTGGCAGTTACCTCTTAGCTCCGCACCTTGCGATTTGCATTCGCCGCCCCTTGGTGAGCGTTAATTTCACGCTTGTCGTCGATAGTGTCGTTGCTAATACATGTGTATTGAAATAAAGCAAACTAATTATAGCCGAACAAGCAATAAGTTTTAGCAATCATTGCTGGTAAATGTCATTTATTCATAAGAAACAACAACAAAACGCTGCCGAACGCTTAATGTTGAGGCGTTGGTGTGCGCATGCGCATTTGTCGCAAACGGCAAACACTGTCAAGACACCAAAATGCATATGGTTTATACTGTATATGTATGTACATATAATTAAAATGTTTGTTTGCAACACAGATACACACACACGCATACAAACAAATGGCTGACGGATGTGTCAGTCAAATTGATTTGCAGCTGAGTTTTCTAGTTTGCTAAGACAATAATTAGTACTGTTGCTGTATAAATAATTTTGTTTATATATGTATGTCTGTAACAGTACATGTATATGTATATTTATATATGTTTCTGTTTGCAGAAACGTCGGAAATGCGCAAGGCATGGAAAATTTTATTATTAAGAAATTATAATTTCAGTTTCATTTTTTTTATTATGCTAAGCTCTGCAGCTCATTTCAAATGCATTGCTTGGCTTTATTAAGTGCACAAATAAAATGGAAACTCTCTACATTTGAATAAAATGCTATTTGTATTGGTAATAATTCGAAATCTGGCACGACTAAAGTTAGAGAATTCTCAATACTACGGCTGAATTTTAGTTATATAAGTTTAGTTCGTGCTTAGGACTTCGATTAAGATATTCAATACACTCGTACACACACATATATACTCGTATAAGTTGTGAGTAATTTTTATAAGCTTGAGAAAATATAGAAAATAGATTATGTAAATATTTCTCCTTCTAATATCTATTATTGACATCAAAATATTCTACTTTTCCGTCATTATTCCTTATATTTGTTTGCGACCTCGACCGGTATGATATTTAATTTTTGAATTATGTATAAAGCCTTTTATGGCTTCATTCATTACATGTTGCATGCACTAGATCTAATATTTGAGTATTGAGAACCTGCAAATTTTACAAAGTCAAAAATATAGTGAAAAATTGGCTAAGCGATGACTTTTAAAACATCTACTACATTGATTTTTGAAAAAAGAAATTTATGTATTTTAGTGGCAGTCTAATAACAGTACTATTTATATACAAATCATCAAAGAAATTTCTCAAATAAATCTAAAGATTAGTGTAAATCCTCTATTATCTACCTAATGCCAGCAAGGTGAGGTAGATGGAAATCGAACAGCTTGCATTTTTGATAAAGTTAACTTGCCTATCTCAATATTGCAAAGCAGCCGTGTTATTGTTACAAAGGACATAGGCGATCGTTTGGCACCCATTATTTTGAATTCAATAACACTGAAATGTTTGAAATTATTTATTATAAACGATCAGTTGCTGTAAATAAAACAACTACCGGAATTTTATTTATTTTTTTTTTTTTGTTGTAGAAAAATTTAGTAAAATATATTTATCCATAGATTCGTGTTCGATTTACCATAAACACATTTTATAGCATTTCAAAAGTAAGGTAACTAAAAAATATTATAATTTTGATTGTGAGCGTTTTCCAAACCCTTCTAAAGTACAACCGTAAATTCAGCTAAAGCAAATATCCATAGAGTACCAAGAACTCCATCATATTTCAATTCTTAAACACATCATCATAACACAAGCACACTAGTTTCAGGTTATGATAGGCAAACTTTTTTTCATTCTATCATTACATATCTGCTCAGATCATCCCGGATAACAGCAATTATTTCGCATATTTTTTATCGAAAAAATTTGTATGAATTCTTATATCATACTTTGTTATATACCATAGATCACCATAGTAACCTGCTGCAAGCTGGCGGGTAAAGACACTCTGAAGAACATGTCTACAATGAGAAAAAATTATGTTTTATAAGACCATTTCAGCATCATGGCAGTAGATCAAGCATTTTGGTTAGCTTAAGATTGTGTGTAACAATATTACTACATATACATATGTCCTAGGTGTGACTGAAACCCAGCTAACTTCAATAATAGAGGTCGCTCTCTCTCTCTCTCTCTCTATACAAACACTTTCCGTTATATTGAATTAATGATTCTGCTTATTTTTGATTGTTACCCAATATAATTATTGTTACATTTATACCTATAATAATTCTGGAAAAAAATATATAATCTATACAGATCTTTATTATATCCTGAACAGCTTCTTTAAAGTTTTCCATGCAGTTTGTAACACCCAGAAGTTTACGTCTGTCCGTCTGTCTGTTTCTACGCGAACTAATCCCGCGATTTTCGAGATATCGTTCTGAAATTTTCTCTCGCTTTTTTCTCATCAAGAAGCTGCTGATATCGGAGCACTATAGCATGCAGCTGTCATACAAACTGAACTATCAAAATCCAGGCTTTGTATGGAAAACTTGTGTATTTGACGAGATATCTTCAAGAAATTTGGCATAGATTATTGTTCAAGTCAACGGTTCAACTGCCGTATAAATTGTTCATATCGGACCACTATAGCATATACCTATGTATGCACCTACCATTCAAGCTTGCCGATCAAAATCAATATAAATATCTCTGTTTACACTTTTTTGCTATAAAAATGCTACTTAGAAGGACATTATATTAATCAGGTTATTTTAATTTATAGTTATTATATAATATATATTTTTTCATTTTCAGATGGAGGTAGATCGACAAAAACTTCTTGAAATCCGAAAATTAGACATTTGAGTGCACTAGAAATGATATATTCCACGACGGGAAGGCAACTCCGGTAAGAGGAGAGGCAATCAGCAAGAATACTTAAGACTGAGCAGCAAACGTATGGATATAAGGACACCTAAGAAGATATATAAGCATGCTAATATTAAGAATATAAAATAAGTTTGAAAGAATACTAAGCAAAACGTATATATAAATACGTATTCATCAATATATTTGTATATAATATATAAATTTTATATAAAATTATTATTGAATTTATATTAAACACATATATTTTATATGTACGCATACATACTTAGACACTTAAATTTAAATCCCCGAAACTGTTTGCTGTAAAAAAAACAAGAGAAAACTCGCCATCAATATTCTTATTAGCTTAATCGCTTAGTCAAAGTGGCGCCATGTTTTTCCTGCCGAGCAAGTGGAAGGGTAGCCAATATAAGCAGCAAACCGCCGCCAAGCCAATATTGAACGAATAGCTGCGATATGCGTCACATGCACAAAAAACAAACACGCCAAAATATCCACAAGCACACACACATACACACATAATCAGGCGCATATAAAACGATCCAGATTTTCCTGCGACTACACTCGGTACACTCACTTGGTAAGTAAGTATATTGGTGATTTGCTTTGGCTAAGCACATATTGACGTTTGGCTGCTTTCACTCCGCTTTATATGCGCGCCTTAACGGTATTTCGCTTTGGTTTTTGCCTTTTACTCCCATTCACTGGGCACACATTTTCTCGCATTGATAATATTTTCCGAAAGGATAATGTGCATATAAAATTTTAAGACATCGTTTTATGGTGATACACAACATGTTTATCGCAAAATATTCACAAATTCAGCAGCAAGGTACTCAAAGGACAACACACAAACGCACTCATACAAGCACATATATACAATATATATATATGTATATAAATATATACATATTTATGAAGTTCTTCGACTGTGTAATTTGTACAACTCAAGAGTGAAGCTTAAAGATTTTTCATACAGCTCTCATAAAGACTTATGTTAGTGTGAGAGTGAGTATATGTGTGTGTGCAAGTGTATAAGTGTATGTGTGTTTGTGTTTAAATTTCAGCTCATAATAATTGAATCGACAGCAGCCGTTTAATGCGGCTTAATTACATTATAAAACTTGAATAAACAAACGAACTACCGAACAAGCGGCGACTTGCGTTTAAGTATGAAGGCAGCGCAGTGCGTGGTAACGCGCCAACAACAACATAAATCTAAATATATGCAGAAATCGGGGAATTGCACTCATGTCTCGTTTGCATTTTCGGTGATTTTTTTTTTATTTGTAGGTACTGTACTTGTGATGAAGAGAGAGAGCGAAAAGCGGTATGCTTATATACCACACAAGTGTTTCACAATTAAAGAACGCCTTAAAGCCATCAGCGAGGTATAGAGTTCCTACGTGACTTTAAAGAATTGTAGGAACTTAATACCGTGCTCTTGGAGGGCTGTTGATCAACAAGCGTACTAAAAAGTGTTTTATTAACTGATGGTGAATAAATGCAGGAAGTGGATGTGGAGTGAAAAGAGTATAAAATTATATGAAACTAAAAGCTTGCAGAAAGCTTCGGAAATATCAAAATTTTGGGTAAAAGTTTGTTCGATTCTAAAAATGATTTTTTTTTTTTATTTAATGAAGCGTTTTGCTTAAATTCGTTGACTATATTTGATATCAAGTGAAGTGTGATGGCGCATTTTGAAATCACAAAACAACTTCCACAAAGTTTGGAAGCTTCTGGTGAAAGTTTGAACGATTTTATAATGTTATTTGCTCTTCTTCGTTTTAGAAAGCTTATCGAGCTTGCACAGTAAGCTTGAATGAATTTGAATCCGATTTCATTGAACTTTTTTTTCTTTTTACTAAATCTAAAGTTATTGTTTATATGTATACCTGACTTAATATGGTAACACGTTCATGGGACGCTGAATATGGTTGTATTATTTAACTAATTATTATATATTATATATATTATATATATATATATATATATATATATATTATATACATTTTACTATAATCATCAGCATTCCGGTGCTGTTGAGTGAAAACTTACATTGTCTTGGTGAAGATTTATTCATCCAGGCGAGCAGGTTCTTAAACCAGTCATCAAAATCAAAGTCGAGAATTAATTCGATATCTTAAGTAGTTTTTAAGGTATGATGACTTATATATATATATATGTACACAAATTTGAATTAAGATGAGAAAACATATCATTACAAGTGCGAAAACACGAAGAGAGAAACTGCAGGAGGAATGGCAACAAATAGCAGCCGTTGTGCTTGAAAATTCAGTTTCTTCAATGCCTAGACGCTTACAAACAGTTATAGATGCCCATGTTGGGTCAAAAAAATATTAATCTTCAAGTTTTAGTGCCTTATTGAAGTTTTTTATATTAAACTGCTAGGCGTACGTAGACTTTTTTTCAAACATGCTTTATAATTTTTTGTGAACAGTTTTTTATGGTTGCAATTGAATACATTTTTTTTCATAGTTTCCTATTAAAAATTTATTATTATATTTACATTCAGCAAGACATCAAAAATATGGGTTGTACGTAGACTTTTTGCACCCACTGTATATATATATATAATTATAGCATATTAATACAATACCTTAAGTAGTTTCTATGATATTATCACTTATATGTAGGTATATGTAAAATAAAATTATGTTTGTTTGTAAGCTGTCTTAAGAGAAATATATTAAATTTCTTATAAGAAAATCAAAACAAATACACCTTGTACTTAAATTTTTTATCGCTATTTAAAATTAATGTCAACGAAAAATTTAATTAAGCTTGAGAAGCGAGTCTTAGTTGGAGAATTGTTCAAAAGTAAACGAATTATAAGATTTTCAAATTTTATTAAGAAATTAAATTTTTAATATATATAAATCAAAAAAATATTAAAATTTATAATAAAATTTATTTTTTATATATATCAAAAATTAATACGCCTTACTTGGGGAACTAAAAATCATATGAGATATAAATATATATGAATTTAATTATATTAAGGGGTTAGGGGTAGTCAGAGGCTCGAAAAAATTAGAATTTTCAGTAATTTTATTTCGCTATTAAATCATGTTATTTTCCAAAAATAGTAATATGGCATTATTATACAATGTTTTGACTTGAAGTCACGAAAATTAAAAAAAAAATTTAATTCCCAAAGTTATAGCTGTATGTGTTGACCCAGTTCCAAAGAAGGTCCTTGCAATGACAATCATAAGTCCTTGCAGATTCATCTAAAATCAATCGAATAGAAAAAATTAGTTTTATAAAGAGATAATCCTGGGCCTGATCGTAGCTTTTTTTCACAAATTAAAAAAATCGCGGCCTCAGAAAATTTTTTTTTAGATTTTTGGGAAAAAATGTGGTCTTATAAAATCGACATTTTTGAAAAAAAGTCCTGCGATCAGGCCCGAGTTTATTATATGTTCTAAAAGCTGTATAAATTTTTATTAAAATCAACTGAGCGGTTTTTCAGTTACAGTTGTCACCAGTTAGAAAAACATAGTTTTGAGAAAAACGCATTTAAAGTCTCTTGCAGCTGGAGCAGCTAGCTCTCCCGAGCGCTCTCTGTTATTTGTCGAATAACTCAAAAAGTAATAATCGGATCGACTTGAGGTTTTCAGAGAATATTTTCAAAATATTACACTTACCGAAAATGCAAAAAAAAAGCAAATTGATTTTTTGAAAATTCTGACTACCGCTAACACCTTAAGAAAACGATATTGTTGTTGAGATCTTCTACACACTTTTATAGAATCCACTTTGGACTTAGCAAGTATTAGATTGTGTGCAAAAACTTGATGGTTTTTACTTAAAAATAAGATTTTAATAATATCTTAGAGCGAATCAAGGAATTTATTCAAACTAAATGCCTATATAATATATATTATTTACATACATACATACAGATATACAATACAACTAATAATAAACAGTTACTTTTTTCCTTCTTTAGTATAAGTTTTCTAAGGTTGAACCGTTTTTAATACTTAATACTTGCGACTAAAATATATTTGAGAAATGGAATCGGCTCCGTTTCTATGCATACCGTTATATAAATAAAGACTTGAGGCACATGAACGTCTTTATGATGCATGGCAGCCTTTCCGGTTATTTCATTTTTGTAACAAAATAATTGACTAGAAGTGGTTTTGTAATTAATCTAACTGGATTTGTTTTATTACCTAGAGAGTATAAATTACCAGTGAGCTTCTTTTCCTTCAGCTTGGTGATGAAGTGAATTAGCTAGAGTTCATCCAAGATAGAAAACGCATGTGTAAGCACAACAACGAGAGAAAAGTGCAAAAGTCAGCTGTTAGCTTTACTAATGCAATTGAGCCATTGGCAAAGTGAGGATCCACTTCGCATATTGGTTCATTAACTTTTGAAATTATAATTACTTAGGTGCAAATTTTAAAACGCTTGAACGTGTACAACGAGCTGCTGTTAGAAGGTGTGCCGTTGGAAAAATTTAAATGAAGCACCGCATAGCTTTGTGCTTTGGTGTTGCTAGGTCCAAAGACTCTCGAAGTCTTGAAGCCTTCCTTTCATTCAGTGCGCTGCTTGGCCGATCTAAGTACTGGTGAATTATTATCTTTCTTCAAAGCTGTGAAGGACTTGTGGATAGTGTCTTATCGATTATATCTTTGTTTTATTTAGAATATGTTAAACATAACAAAATATTATATCAAAAGGATAGAGTAGAATATTTTGAGAGCAAAACTGCGCCAGAAAATTAAAAAATTATTAATTGAAATATTAACGATTGTATCAATATTGCTATGAAGTGCTGCACATTTATCAGCAAATATTGATAACCAAAGTATCGATAAACTTCACATCTTTACGATGCTCAATATTAAACAATAATTAATGAAATTCAGCACAAAAAAACCTAAAATACTGCCCTTGGTAGTTTTTGAAATTTTTAGAGATCACAGTTTTGTAAGACATATGTACATATGTGTATGTGTATTAGGGTGGAGCGAAAAAAAATTTTTTTTTTTTGCTTAGCCTGAGCGTAAAATCTGTAGATTACAAAAAAAGAAAAAAATTTTCGACAAAAAAAATTTTTTTTTTTTAACATCTTTCTACGGTCTACTTAGTCTTAAAGTAAATTTCGAGTGA